TAACAAATTTGATTGAACAATCAATTTAATGCAAAATAAAAATTGAATAATAAATAATTACAGACACGTATCTAAAGGGACCAGTCCAGCTTGTTCTCTAGTCCAATGCCTAATCGCTTCTTCTCTACCTCCCGTTTGGTTCGGTACTCTCGTTTTTCCCTAAACCTAAACTTCGTGGCGCAGTAGGTACATGGTTGCGGTATTTACTTTTCTTCAGTAAACGTTTTTTTAAATAAAAAGTCACGATTTGAAGAAATAATATTTTATAAATAGGTGGTTTTCCCCAATTGTAAAAAAGGCAATAAAAGGGGAAGAAGTTGAGTATGCTTTGTTGCAATATATAAACTCCCCTCTTAAAAATATGAGCTATTCCCCGTGCCAACTTCTCATGAGTGAAATTTGTAAAACAAAAATTCCTATAAGTTCTAATTTGTTAAAACCCCGTTAGTGTGAAAATGTAGCTCAAAAGTTAGAAAATAGGCAAACTATCTCTAGAAAGTATTATGGTAGAAATTCTAAAGATTTAGTGCCTTTAAAGCCTAACAATGATGTAACTATTTATAATCATGTTGAGAAGAAGTGGGAACCAGCATTGTTAATCAAGCAACATGATTCGCCTCGGTCTTATTTAGTTCAGAACCAATTTGGTCACACCCTAAGACGTAACCGTGTTAATTTGAAGCCTTCTCCAAATAAATATATACCCACTTCTTCTAACAGGTTTGACATACCGGATATGACAGAACACGGCAGTGTTTGTCCTAGAACTAGTCTAGAAAATAAGCATGTAGACCTTAATGTACCTAATGTAAAACCGGCTTCTGACCCTAGGTCTGATCTAAAAAATAACTAGATCTGGTAGGGTTATAAAGCCTCCTAAAAAATTTAATTTATGAGGGAGGATGCGATGGTAGTAATACAGGTGCCGTTGAGAACACCAGTGACGGTAGTTGTCAGTTGACAAGTTCTGTTGTCTAGCTGCCCCTTGCATGGGTCTTGATAAAACAGCATGAGTTAACTTTATCAAAAAGGATGAAAGGCTACAAAAAAACACAACCACAGTACCAGTCGATCAACTGAGAATTTATGGGGAGGGTAGAGCTCTATCGAGCATAAAATAAATAAATAAAAAATTAAATAATGAAAAAAATGAAATATTTTTAAAAAAAAACAAGTTAAAAAAATATAATAAAAAAAAAGATAATCAGAAAAATCAACTATGTGCTTGTGTTCTTTTGTTTTACAGATCATGGAGCCGAAAATCATTCGATAAGACGAGAACGTCTAACTAACCAGGATGGCCGAATGTGACGCAGCCCATTATAACAATCCCATATTATAGTATCTATCTACCTGACCAAAATGTAAACTTTGTCAACATGCGATCTTTTCTTATATTTTGTAAACTTGCCACAATAGGACATGAACAAAAGGGCCAAGGCAGGTAGGTATGTTATCCTTTTTGGGGTGGGACCGGCCTCGACCCTCCAAAACTGGTATTGGGCTCGTAACGTCATATTTTTCATTTGCGAGATATTCTAAAATAAACCATCAAAGTGAAAACTCGCAGCGTCTTTTATTTTGATTCGTTACAATCCACGAACCTATCCTAGTTTGTTTCAAGCTCACTTTTATTACGTAGATATTGTGTATGTAGTCCACCCAAACTGTTTTTCCCTGAAATCATCTCAAACTTATAGATATTGCAACATCTCTCGACTACGGTATGTTTAGAGTTCATGTAAGTGAAAGAGTATTTTTGAAAGAAAATCTATAACTTAAATTAAGGCTAAACTTCAATAGAAGCAACTAGGGTTTTCATAACAAGACATCAGCCGTACCTCGGTCACAGGGCTTCGGAGTCGCGCGCATTGCATTAGTGACAGTTCTAGCCAGCATTCCACCCAGCTGCTCACTGATCAGCTGATTATTTGTTTAGGTTTTGTGCCCTAATGTTATCGTGATCTGAAAATATACTCCTGGACAAAATTATCGCACCACTGCTTATGGAGATGCATATGTGCAGTGGTGCGATAATTTTGTCTAGGAGTATATTTACTTTCTGCCCTGCCCTTCCAGAAAAATTGACATTTTTTTTAGAAAGAATAGCTTCTTTCTTTTAGACATAATGCAGACTTACCCAAACTAACCTGTCAATCTAGTGGGATCCAGTCTTCATAAGTTGTCATTATTGAAAAAAAAAACAAGTTAATTTAGTTAAGAGCATAGCGTTCTTTGAGCGCCTTTTGTTTTTTTATTAAAATGCTAATTTACAAGGACTTAGATAGCACTAGACGGACTGGTTATTTTAGGTGTCTGCATTTTCTGTCTAAAAGGCCTCAAGGTCTGTTCTACATTGAACATAAAGAGGTTATGTTATCAATTCACTCTTGAATCTAGCGTAGATATTCCGTGCGCCAATCGCGGACGTCTAAAAAATAAAGTAAAGGTCCGCCACTTGTGGAACTATGTTAGTTTCACTACTCGCGGATCTTATTTTGTTTGTTGTTTGTAAAATTGCATCCAGTCCCTAATCCCTTTTATTTTCATAGATGAAAAAATCTCCTAGTGGAAAGGAGGAAATGAGTACTAATTTATGTAGAAAACACCATTGATATGATCATATCAAAACTAGCATAACAATACAAGCAAAGAAGTACAAAGTTAATGGTTATATATTTAGATTATTTAGACTCAACACCTCTCAACCTTTGTATAATTATTTTTAAAGCTCAACATAAAGATTATGATATCAAGTATTAAACATAAACAAATAATTTGCTGCTGGAACCGAACTGACAAAAGTGAAAAACAAAGAAATGACAGAGGATGCGCGCGACTCCGAAGCTCTGTGACCGGGATACGGCGAATGTCTTGTGGTTTTCATACCTAATATTTCGAAATTTAAATTGCCATATATGTTTAACTGAAAAGAAGTTTCAATGAAAAAAAGCAGAGTAGGTGATCATAATTTGGAAGAGTTACAAATAAAACAAAGAAAATATTTGAAAAAAAAAACTTTATTCACTCGAGTAGGTACATAATATAAAAATAATAATGGCTATGCAATGCTCACCAAGTATCAAAGTAATAATGTATAAGAAAATAATAAGACTCAGCAGTGTTTTAACTCGTCCCTGGAATAACTGAGGAATGACAGGTAGGTACCTGAATCCTCAAATGGTTATGGGAGAGAAGGACAGTAGAATAAAAGCAATACAGCTAGAATAAAATTCAGAAATACATATGTACAGGGTGTCCAAGATTCGATGGTTTTGGCAAGTTTCGGGTATTTCTAGAGGAGTTGTAAAAAATCTGACCCCCACTTGCGAGCCTCGATTTTCAAGAGAAGTTGACCGGAAAAACCCGCATTTCGATATCTTGGTTCATTTTTAAACTACAAAAAGTTATAGACCCCGTGCCAAACTCCAAACTTTTCACCCCTCGTAGCATAAAAACGACTCCACATATCGAAATGCGGTTTTCATCAGTCAATTTCTCCTAAAAATCAAGGCTCCTAAGTGGGGATCAGGTCTTTTCCAACCAATCTTGGACACTCGGTACATATGATCCTTGTCAATTATTGGTGATTTTGCAGTGCAAAAATAAGATCAACAGTCAACAACTCAAAATTATCAATATTTAATTGCAATATGTATTATTGCAGCCATACGTGATAAAACATTAAAATTAGATACATGTCCGAGGGCTTCTTTAGTAATTTATTATATAATAATATTTTATACACGGCCCACACCATTAATACCTGTTTCTCCTATAATTCCTAGTTTCAATGAGAAACCAGCATCCCTATCGACTTCTCACAGATGCGTTTATAACTTTGTTTAAAAATATCTCTATTTTTCTGTACTAAACTGAAATAATTCTATTATACCATGTTTAATATTAACCCCCTCACGATCAGCTGATAACATCTATTATTGGGGCCTTCATTTAATATAATATCACGTACAGCCGCGAAATTATATACATTCAATACTCAAAATATTAACAACTAACAAGGTACCTACTAATGCGATATACCTATATACAGGGTGTCCCACCGAAAATAATCAATGGCCTATATCTCAAAAACATAATCGATAAAAAAAAAAGAAAACCCCGTTTGGAGGGTTGCAACCAAAACAAGCGACTTTCCAGCTTTCCCCGAACCACCCCTCCGGCGGTAGCCACCATAACCTCAAAATCTTAAATGGCATAGGTCATGTGATACCTTGTTTAAAAGGTCTTAATTCTCTTAACGAATATGTGGGACACCCGGTATATTGTACATATTTGAGAAAAACTAATATAAAAATTTAAAAAAAAACTAATATAATAATGAAAACTAATATAATAATGAAAACTATAATAATAATATTGGCAAGGCTGAGCCGAGATCAACAGTTTGAGTGATTAGCCAGTGACAGCAAACTTCCACAATCTTAATCGGCTGATAAATATTTCCTCGGCCAATCAAAATTGTCTGGATGTATAATAATAATTGCTACCTGCAAATTTTTATTGGAACATAATCTCTGACTTATCCCAGCAATTCTGTCAGTCACGTTGCACAGCCTTCATCTCAGCACATCGAACAAGGCAAGGGCTATGCCGAATGATAATACGCATGTGTACGTGTCATTGAAACACAGCAAACAGCATTTGGTTGTGCGACGCATGGTCCAAGGCAGTTCGAATGCCATCCGATCCGAGTCGATACTCTAAAAAAAATCGTTCCACATAGGAGTATCGATACCTCGCTCGTAGCCTCTACAGGCTTTTTGATCGGCCTTGCCTTGTCTTATTACCGTTCGTGCTCAGGTCAAACTAAGCTAACACTAGTTAACATATGGAATTCAAAATTAACATAAAACTAAACTCAAGCATAATAATTCATCATCACAAGGAACCGAGAATTACTGCTCCAAACAAAAATAATATTAAATTGGCATTATTATGCAGAAAACATTTTATTGTAATTCTCTAATATCCTTCACCCTAAATCTTGCAGGTTCGGAGCTGCTGTAAGTATTGTTTCTCTGTGTATTTGGATTTGGCATCAAAAACGCATTCCTATGTGGAACCAAAGCAGGAACATTCCTTTGTGTATTTTGCGTGGCCATAGTAGAGGAATTTACATTTCTCTGCGAATTTGGCAACAACAATGAATTCCTCTGTAGAACCAAGGAAGGAACATTTCTTTGTGTGCTTTGCGTGGCCGAAGTCGCTGGTAACAATGAACGAGGAGGATTCACATTCATTTGTGCATTTGGCATTAGATTTCTATGCGTGTTTGATACTGATTGACCAGGAGAAGTAAACATATTCGAATTTGGAGTAACTGAAGGAGAATAATTTTGCTGATTTGGAGTTGAAACATGAATATTCTGAATAGGAGCTGGATTGTTTGATGATGCTGCTGTAGTATTTGGGGCGAATAAATTGGCGGATATAGCAAAATTGGCGGATACACCGAACTGACTATTCGAAGTCCTGCCACTGGACATGGGCATCACATCATTCTGCACACGATTTGCTGAATTATTCGGTATAATCGTATTATTTACAAAAACTTGATTGGTTGATACTGTTCGGTGGGGAGTGCTATTTTTGGCAGGCGAATTTGAGTGAGGAGTATTATTTAGCAAATTTCTCATATTGGATGCTATTTCTTCTGTCATATTCGAAGATGAGGCAGTGGGAAATCCGTCCAGCATGTCACTCAACAAGGTATTTGGAGAACGTTGGTTGGTTGTATTGTTGAGAACCGCATTACTGATTGAAGTATTAACGGAGCTTTTTGGACCATTATTCTGACTAACAGGGGTATTTGCTGCCAGTATACTTTTCAAAGCACTATTCGAATTTTTACTAAGGTAAGTCTTTGGAATTGGAAGTGACTTTCTTGGCACCGTAGCATTGGGAGCTCTATCAAAATAGGTCTGTAACATAGGAGTTGGTGAATTAACAGCCTGTGCGTTATTTGATTGAGAAACGTCAGGTTGCGGATTATTATTTATAAGGACCACAGGCAGTTGAATTGGTACTAGAGAGCTTGCAACTGGTTTACTATTGGCGACCGCGGGTTGAATTTTTGTAGATTTTTTTCCGATACGCACAAATGGTACGCTATCCCAATCCCATGCTTCCGATTTTTTAGCAGATTTAGGTGGGCTATCAAATTTATAAGTAACATTAAATGGCCCGTTAACAATATGAATGGGCACCTTAAATGGTACTATTTGTTCTTTGAGATTTTTAAACTCGCACGTCCCATCTGATTTAATGTTGATATCCTTACTAGATGGCATATCAGTTTGAATCATTTTCTCCACACATATCTTTACATCATCAGGTCGCCTAAGTAGACCTTTCATCACTTCTTTTTCATTGGTATTGCCAAAAAATGGACTTATAATGTCATTAGTTTTTATTTTAATATCTGGCCTTACAATAGAGGAATTGTAAAGAACTGGTTCTGGGAAGTAGCTGATAGTAGCCGATGGTATAATTTCAGGTGTCGGCGCAGAGCCTGATAAAGGATCTTCATTAACATCGGTGTCGTCATCAGAAAGAACGATAATATTATATTGATGCCCCGACTTTGAAGGAGATGCCGCTCTTACAAATACTTCTTCAGGTTTCACCGAACCCTGGATTGGTTCAAACATTGTAAATGCGTTCTCGTATTTTCTTCTAGTCTCCAAATCCAGATCGATTTTTGTTAAATGGACTTTTGGATCTGAAGTATTCATCATCTTCTTTATTACGCAGATATTATTAATATGATGATTTTTATTTTCCAACGATTTAAATCGGCGCTTACAAAACTGGCAAACCATATGTTTCAGGGTATGCCGTTTAAGTTCAGAGGCGTTGTTATGAACACTTGCACATAGATGACACACCAACTGGGTTTCACATTTCCTTGTTACTGATGGGTTTAAATCGAATGATTCAGAGTGAGCATTCTGATGAGCTTCGTTACTGCTACTAGAACTTGTCGCTGTAGATTTATTAGATGTCACACTGTCTCGGCTGTCTTCAGATTGATCGACTGGTGTTGTGTGTTCCAAGGTAACCTTCAAAGGTGTTACTGAAACATTACTAATACTATTTGAACAGCCCGGGATTGATTCCTTACTGATTTTGGCTTTGAGACCAGAACCAGTCGATAAAGATCTTTTTCTTGATTCTACCTCATTGACCGGTGTGCAAAAGTAACTGCCACTAGTTTCCGTTGATTTTTCATGAGGTTTGAACATTTTTTTGCTAATTTTCAAGGGAGTTACGGTTTTCTTATGTTGCGATGACACACGAACTCTCTTTTTGGCAATTCTATTACTCATTGAAGCTGCTGGTGATTTCGAAATGTATTGATTCATGTTCAATTTTCTGTCTTTAAAGTACTTTTCAACATCTCCCATCGGCAGTGAAACGAATGGCGCCATATCTTGCTTCATACAAATCGAAGGTAGTTTTAATGTTGGAAAAACATTAAACATTTGTGTGACGGAATTATGGACATCCAAGTCCTTTTTAATCTTTTTTGCAGAGGATGTGGATGGTGTTTCTCTTTTAATCCTTACCTCAGTGTTGGGTATGCGAATTTCCTGATCTGCAAAGAATTGTTTGAGTTTGTCCGAGAGTTTCCCCTGGAAAAGAAATAAACATATTTACATTTTTTTTACATAAACATATTTAATCATCCAATAAACAACCAATACAGTTAACAATATGATTATGCAAGTTTAATTGTATTGAATTGTGTACGGCATTATTGGCACAAAAGGTTGCATTGAGTTAATGCGCCTTACCCTCAGTGATTTGTCCTGTTGGATAGCATCTTGTCGAAACTTGAACATTTTCAATGTTATATTGAGACAACGATCGCAAATTTTAACGGATATTAAATCGTTTTGCAGCACCTGGAACAATAGAGGAAATCTTAATTACAGACATACTTAACTGATACACACTGGGCACAACACTTGGGACACAACACAATTCCACTGGTAATGCCGCGCACAGCGGCCTACAGTAATGGGCCTTTAAAACTCAAGAGTCATAACTATTAATGTATAACTTGTGGGTCACAACCAAACAAGTTTTTAACGTAGAGTGGTTTACGCGCTCGTCCAGTGTGTATCATTTTTCAAAAATTATAAAGTTACTTCAATACTAGGATGTAGTTTTTATTTATAATCCAAAATTTTTCATTATTATTATCAGCAGATTCATTTTGCCTTTGTAAAAATACTTACCTAATCTAAAATTTAAAATTCCCTAACCGTTACGGCCACCTCTTTTTATTCGCTAACCCCAGAGTGAAATCAAACCTTTGTTTTCTAATTGATCCTAGTCATCCTGAGAGTTTTCAAACTCATATTTGAATATTTGTTTTCAATTTTATAAAGTTGGATTGGGTCCTAATATTCAATAAAAATTTCACTTTTAAATCCTTCTGATACATCTAAATATTTAGAAATGTAAATAAACGTTGATTGTTACAGTCCAAAATATTCAAGTTTATTTTATTTGAAAACTTTTCAGAAGATTTAAAATAAAAATTGGCAACAGTAATGTGCTAATTATACTTTTAACAAAGAAAATATTGCAACTGTTACAACACTTTAAAATTCTTATGTACTAAATATCACATTTCTTATAAGTAATCAGTCTCAATGCTTTGATTTTATCGAAAATTGTTTTATTTTTCATTTCATGGGGTTGAGCATTTTTGTAGATAATTTTTCTTTTTCAAAATTTTTTGGTCTTCATTTCTGTTTTTTTTGAAAGTGACTTTGAATTTCTTGAGGGTAAAAACGACAGTTGACAAGCTGACATTTCGACAATCAAAATCGTGACCAATGGCTTGTATTATTGGGTCAGGTTGTTTCTCCTCGTTGAGTGAGATGGAAAATACAGTTTGAAAATCTCTTCAAAAAACTATAACCGTTTGGATTTCCTAGAGGACATAGAAATCAACAAAGAACTACAGACGAACGATTCTTGTTTGAACACTCAAGTCAATTTAAACAGGGCTCACATCCCCCTACACAGACGCCTGTAAAGGGTGTGTTCTTTTCGTGAGTGTCACTGTGTGGTTTCGTCAAAAAATCAATCATATCATTACATTACATACCACTTTATACCCTTGCTAATCTAACTGCATTTTCCATCTCACTCAACGAAGAGAAACAACCTAACCCAATAATACCAGCCATTGGCCACGATTTTGATTGTCGAAATGTCAGCTTGTCAAACGTCGTTTTTACCCTTCAGAAATTTAAAGTCACCTTCAGAAAAAAAGAAAAGAAGAAAAAAAAAATGAAAAAAAAAAAAAATTGAAAAAGAAAAAAAAATTATTTCTATTTGGGGAATGGAATACCAACAAAAAAACCTTGAAAATTAAGCAGAAATTATCTACAAAATAGCTCAACACCATGAAATGAAAAATAAAACTATTTTTGATAAAATCAAAGAATTCAGACCGATTACTTATAAGGAATGTGATATTAGGTACATAAGAATTTTAAAGTGTTGTAACAATTGCAATTCGCCAATATGGCGTCCTCCGTTGTGTGTTGACTCTATTTGTGCTATACCTGACGAAAGTGAGTAGGAAAACCTTTATTTTTACCATTTTTACTAGACCTTTTCTTCTCCTCATTTCCAGGTGGCACTGAACATGGCCTAGGGCCAAAAGCGCTCTGCACTAATTTTATAAATATATTTCTTGCACGAAGGAGGAGAAGGAAAAGATTTGTATCTTTTCCTTCTCCTCCTCTAAATAGTTTCGGTTCCCCCATTCGATTATGATGAATCCGTGTGATTTCGATACGTTGACGTAAATTCGTCCCCCGGTATTTCTAAGAAATATATTTATTTGTCCAACCGAAGATGTCACAATTTCTTTAATTATAGGATGTCGTGAACATGTGAGACCAAAACTATCAAAGGATGCCGAAACTCGTGTCGGCCATAAATAATGTTTTTTTTTTAAAATGTATCTGTCACTAGGTCCCCACAATTTAATTACTTTAGCCTCGCTCTTAATGACATAGGGTGTCCTAATTTAGGTATAAATTCATCTTCAGGTTCAGGAATCTCGGGATGTCACAAGTGTACCTATTATTTGAGAGTAGGGAATCTATTTTTGGGAGCTTCTATAGCTTCCGGACTTCTCGTTGTGGTACTTTAGACAAGACTGGCAAATTTTTCAATAATTTATTATTTCAATATGGAACTTTTTAAAACTTTAAGTAATTTGTATAAATGCCAATTTAAATTCTTTTCAATTTATTGCTACTAAATCAGAACTTCTCTTTAAATATTGGAGATTTAATTAAAATTAGATTATGAATGATTCAATTTAAATTTTCCAGTTATTATTTGAGAACTTTGAAATTTTTTATTTTATAACTTGATTTCTAAGTTTTGTTTCACCCAACCGTTTTATCTGAATTTCTATTTGACCTTAAGATTTTTTTTAATAACATATAAGTGAGTTCATAACAATATCTGGGAAAAACTGCCTCGAAATAAATCCTGATTAAAATAATTCTTTGAAACTACTTCTCATTGAATTCAGGATATTATGCAGGTACTCCCCTTTATAGAATTACTGGATGCAACACTATTATCTGTGGACACAGACTGCAATGTAAATTGAAGTCGGGAATATAGATTATCTCCCAAAAGACATGTATTCTCGCATATTAAATGTAGAAATAAAAGTGCTCGTAATTTTTTATAGACAGTAATAAATTATACGCATGACTAACAGTTCGATAGGCTTAAAATCCATATTATAGCTGTTTTATGCTATGGAAATTTTGTATTGAAAGTTCAGATTTGGTAACAAAATCTCCAATATACCACCGCAAGCCCCCCTAAGGAGCTATGAGGCCTTGTAGTTGGTGGGGAGACTCAGTAGTTGCAGAAGCAGTGAAGCTAAGGACAGCGGAAAATATGGCGCTGGGGGGGTGGCAAACGGAGCCTCTGGGAAACCGAGCGAAATCCCAGAGGATTCAGCCTTACTCCTGTGTAGGGGCTCCGCAGGAGTGGACTCGCCCTTCCCCATTACTCGGGGGATCAACAATGGACCAAACAGAAAAAAAAAGAAGAAAAAAAAAAAAAAAAAACTGAGAAAGGAAGGGGTCAGGTTTTGACTTGGATCCTCCTAGCATAACTATCAGAGAAGCTCCAGCAGCAGACGCTGATAATCCGATTCACGTAGAATCTAACAAAGTCTCAGTGGTCTGGATGTGCGCTCTCTCGTTAAAATTCTTTGGGCTGCTACATTCTTCTTACATTTTGTGTGTTTATTTTTTTGCTTCTTACAAGGAAAAATTACCATAAGAGTTAATAAACCGCCAAAAGAATGAAAAAGCATCGAAATATACTTGATAGACTGGAAGTGTGTATTCAAATAGCGCATGGCGCAGCCGTATCATCGGGCGATTCACCGGATATTCCCAATCAATCGCACAGCGAAAACACATACAGAGCGCCGAACGTTTCTACGCCGACCGACCACCACCACACAACGGGAGAGAATATAAAGAATAGGTGCAGCGACCTCAGTAGAAGCCATCAAGACCCGTATTGGGTTACAAAATCCAGAACTAAAGATGGGAGGATGCCTCACGCTGAGCCTGAAAATAGAGCAGATAGGACAGCACGTGGCCTACGGATGAAAACTCACTCATCCAAGACCCCGGAGTGGACCCAGTTCAAGGGCTATTGCGGAGGCGGGTGACCTTCAAGGCTATCGGAAAGAAAATGGATGTCGATCAAGGTAATCCAGATCAACCTCCGGCACAGTAAGGCGCCCTCATGAAACAACCAGGACAGGTAGCAAGAAGGATGGATACGTTACAACAGTAAAATTTTGAAATGAACTATCTTTCTGCATAACAACGCAGATGCCTTATGCAGCCGGCCATGTCCAGCTCAATGCAAACACTGCTTCAGAATTGATCACCAGGACGTATCACGGATGGAGTTACGAACAGCTTAAAGTGACCAATTACAAGATAGTTACATCAAACCATTTTTGAATCTAAAAAAATCCGGCGAATCCGGTCTCAAGACCAGACATGAAAAACGTAAATAAATAATTATGTATCTCATTATTAATTTAAAAGTTATTGCAATTTAGGCTTCAATTTTGTAATCTTTCAGATTAGACGGTATTTTAAAAATAATTGTTTTTGCCTTTGAGTAATTTGAGTAATTCCTGTCTTGAGGAGAGGTATAAAATGAGCGAAATTGAAATTATTTCAAGTGAAAATGTACAGGGTGGCCCGTTTAAGAGGGGCCTATACCTTATCTCGAAATCTACAAGGGCTGTAAAAAAAATTTAAATACAAAAGTTGTTTCTAATAAAATTATCTACAACTTTTTTATATTATTTTTGGTGTCACTCTACTAGATACAGGGTGAACAAATGAAATTGCATTTTTTTAAACGGAACACCCTATATTTTAATACATTTTTAAATAGCTCTTTGAAAGACAAATTCAACGGTATACTGGTCATGTGTTTGTGATATACCGTTTCGAACTTATTAGCAACTATCTTCAGGATTTGGCGTAATTTTCAACAGTCATTGTTACGTTACTCATAAACTTTTTAAACTTTTTTCTGCATGATATTTTCTATAAAATAATGCTCTTCTTTAAACTATATTCAAATTTGAAATATTTGCTTTAAAAATGCGGTGTTGCCACGTTCCGCAAAATGTTACGCTTTTCAATTTTTTTAAATGGGACCTCCTGTAAATTTTCGAGTTTTTAGATAGCCTTTTAAAAGAAAAATTTAACGATATACTAGACATGGATCTGTGATGCACCGTTTCGACCTGATTGGCGTTTATCTTCAGTTCTAGCACAATATCTCATGTCATCCCTGATGAATGAAA